AATAATAATAATGTTTTTAAAAAAAATTTAGGAGTTTTTATATTAATGGGTAGTTTTTTTTTGTAATAAAAATTAATATTATTTAAATCTTTTAATAATTAAATAAATTAATTAATTAAAAAAGATGTAAAAAAAATTGTCAAACCAATAAAACGATGACACGTGTCCCATATAACCTGTTATGTAAGTCACCAACAGGTCAAACTTGTTTAAAGCGGACACCCTCAAAGTTTCTATTATTTAGAAATAATCAAAAGATTAACTTGTTTTTGGGGGACCGCTCAAATTTTGTGTTATTTTTGACAAATATTCTAAAAATAAAATAAAAATGAGAAGATCATAACATTCATCATATTGGTGTCGTTTTAGTTCCATCCTTTTAGACTATTTTGATATAAGAATTAATTTAAAATGACACTACACATAAGAAAGTCTTATCCATGAATTGGAATTCAAAATTAGGTTGTTAAAAAGCATTTGGAAATTTAATTATTGGAAAAGAAAGGAGATGAAAGGATGTCAATTGGGCGAGTTTTAGTGGAGTTTTACCCTACATTCATGCCATTTAGATGGCGATATTCGCAAATATATATATTAGAACATACACCTTGTTACATGTAGTCTCACATGCATCTGGGGGTAGCTTTAATATTTTTTTTGTAAAAAAAGGCACATGTGAATAAAAGCACATAATTAACATTATACTAAGTAATAAAAGTACATACAAACATTTTGTTAAATTGTGACTTGATATCTAGTATGGCTTACTTTAAATGTAGATGTCTCTTATCCTACAAGTAATTTTGAGGTGAAATATTCAAGTTAGAGGTGATGGCTTGTTTCAAGAGCCTTCCAACGGTAGGTCATATGCTCAATTCCGATAAGAAACGAGAAAGTTATGGTTGTTTTACGAAAACCTGACGAAGTTGAAAAATTATGACGAGCAGGCGAGCTATAGCTCTAGGCGAGTGAGCTATAGCTCGGTTCTTTGAAGACTTGCGGCAGTCTTGAGCTAGCTGTCGAGCTATAGCTCGGTAGTTCGGTTCTTCTAGGATAATTTATGGGATATTTCCTAAAATTATATATTTTCTATGACGGCTATTTGAGTATACTTGGGGAACAATTTAGGGTTTTTATTAGGGTTTTCTTATGTTATAAAAGGACCCTTTAGTTGGTTAATTAGATCATGTCTTTTGAGCCATTAGATTTAGGAATCCTTATATTATTCTCTCGTTCTTTCTCCATTAAAGTGAAGAGGCTCTCGAATCCCCCACTCGTGGATGTAGGTCTAACTTCACCGAACCATGTAAATTCTTGTGTTCTTTGTTTTTTTTTATTTCTTTTTTTATTCTTATTTTTCATTGACTTATTCTGCATTAATTAAACAAAATTACACCCTTATTTCCTAACACATTTAAATAAAAAATGCATTGATATTAGATAAAAGTAAATGAATAATAATTGAAAATTAATAATAATAGGTAAAATTTTGGGTAGAAAGGACTCACGGTGAATCCACTAGAATAAAAGTCTCTCATCAATGACTTTTACCATCTTCATTCTCCAGTTCTCCTTCTTCCCTTTTCTCTCTCCTCCCGCCCATCAATGGCGGCCAGATCCTCCACCACTCTCCGCCTTCTCCACACTCACCCCTCTCCCGCACCTCTAGCCACCAATTACAACAATCAATTACCACCGCAACAACCCAGCAGACCCATAACAGCAGCAACTCTAATCACCACCAATCAACTTCCCCTGCTCCACCAATTAGCCACCCGCAAACAGCAATCCGGCCATCAATTGATATAATTTCCACCACCAATCGCAGCAGCAACCTCAATTTTGTGCTCAAATTAAAGACCCATTTGGTGCCCACGCGAAGACCTAGTTGGTGCGCACGCACGGATTTGATGATATTGGGCCGTTGATCTTGATAAGCTTGATGATCGAACATTGATGTGTGGTGATGTGCGAAGCAGGGGATCGTTCCCCATTTAAGAGCAGCCAAAGAAACGCATTTAAGGAGCTGACTTCATTCCCTTTTAATTTCTTTTTCTTATTATTGTCAGATATTAGAATATCATTGTCATTTTTGTCAGATATTAGAATATTAATGTCATATATTAGAATATTATTGCCCGATATTAGAATAATATTGTCATATATTAGAATATTATTATAATATATTAGATTATTAATGTCAAATTTATTATTAGTGTCATATTAGAATATTATTGTTAGATATTAGAATATTATTGTCATACATTAGAATATTTGTAGACATCTACTTTTGGTCCCCTGTCCCGACCAGAGTGCTATGACGATAAATAATTCCATCTTTGTGCTGGATTGGAGTAAGGAATGCTAATGGACTACCGATTGAAGCCTAAACACATAAAACTAACTAGCTTGACCCAAACGAAATGAACTAAAGCTCATTAATACTAAGCCCGATAAGAAATTAGGCCTAATCCAAGAATTAAACCTAATTTCGGACGGATTTAAAGCGCCTAGGTTAAAATCTAAGGCTGCCGCAGGAAAACTCGCGCGCAACTCCTGAATTCGCACTCAGCAGCCGCGCGCAGCTTATGAGGTTGCGCGCAGTAGCCCAGCGCAACTGTTAGTGTTGCGCTTGCGAAGATTCAGAATTTCAGAAAGATACTATATCGAATCTTACCATACATCACGCGCAAGACTAGAAGTCATGCTGCCCTAAGCAGCGCCACTCCTTCACTTGCGCGCGGAAGCCACGAGCAACTTCCAGAGTTGCGCACGCCACCTGCTGCGGCAGAATCTCCTAAACCCTAATCTTAACCATTGCCTATAAATAGAGGTTTAATACGAGCTCTAAACACACAGAAAATTAGCCAGAAAGTCAGTTGTACCACTTTGTGAATTTATGCAATAATCAAACCCCTTTTGTCCTAAACACTCACCCTTTTATTATTTTGTTCTTATGGTGGAGGTTCCCGAACAAAGTGTCCACTTGCATTCTAAACGAAAATCTAGCAAGGAAAAGTGGTAATTCCCGAGCACTTAGATAAATCACTTTTTCTTTTCTTGTCTTAAATCACTTAAATCGACTAAAGAGTGTTGCTTGTTGACGTTAAAATAAACCTTTAATTAATTAATTCGACATAGTATTCTTTTGTTAAACAAAACTAGAATCGAATAAATTAATTGATTGTTTTATCACTTAAGTCAAAACGAATCTTGTTTATTTTTGTTCTTTCACAAATTTGAATAAAATAAGAATAACGACATTTGTTGTAATGTAATCCTTTTGTGATTGACGCGTGTAAATAAAATCAACTAACTTAGTTTTAGGTATCACATTGTATATATTGTTTGGCGATGAAATTGTGAAAAAGGAAGAGCTAGTAGAGGCCGCACTAGGGCTTGGATGGTGATTCTCTTCAAAAAGGAACATTATCTTAGTACCCTAGCTTCCGAACTCATTTCTGGTACTAGTAGACCAATTTGGGCAGGGGTAAACTTATGATTTATGTTAAATATCTCTTGAACTCTACTTGGGAGAAAGGCATGAACGAGGTTTATTATGGGTTTTCCTAAAACTCATTGGCGACTCTCTATTGGTTTCTAATTAAAAAAAGGGTAATGATAGACTCAATTCTAATTCAAGATCCCCCAAACAGTCATGAATTCAAATCCTAACACACCCTAAAAGGTGTAAAATCCTAGGCTTTTATAGGGTTATGGGCATAGAGGAAATGAGATCCCCAACGATGGGCTACCCTCCTCACAATATTATTGTTAGATATTAGAATATTATTGTCAAACATATTGAATTCACGACGAGTCCGATCTCACGCAAAACCTTTTCATAATAATAATAGCACTAAAAGTATAAGCATTATTATATAAGCATATAGTAACATTTAAGAAAAAACACATTGCTACTTAATAAAAACACATTTAACATAATAAAGGCACAATACATTGTTGTTTTACCTAATTGCATGTAGCCTCTACCAATTGGGCAATAATGAAGATTTTGTGGGTGATAGAGTGGGATGAGGATAACATTTGGTTATATCGGTCATTATGGGTGTTGGGGGCAAGCATTAGTTTTACGGTGTAACCAACACACACCCCAACTCTCACTTCGAATTATACTAATTAAAAATTAAAAATTTATTTTATGTATTAAAAGAAAATCTATTATATATATTTTTTGGTGTTTAGAGAGCCTTGATGGCTGGTAATGAAAATTAATCTTAGGATCCCCTGAAATCGGGAGAAAATCTTTAACTACCTGAGCTATTCCTATATCAGTATATTTTGAAAAAGAGAATAGACATTAGTTTTATGGTGTAACCAATACACTTTGAGTTTTGAGAACCCTAGAGAGTAAAAAGGGAGAAGATCAGATTGACTTTGACCAGAAACTCAACTATTTAATTAGGAACTAAGAGAATACACAGTATGAATTGATGAATTTTTTGACAAGATCAATTCATGAATTGAAAAAGAATAGACATTACTTAACCAAATGAGATTAGTACGACTTTAATTTATTCTACTAAGCAGCAATTACGCAAAGTAAATTCGTTCATTAACAGTTGACATTGTACTTAAGAGAATAAATTTATGTTCAATTTTAATTTTTTTGTAATAATGCTACCTACATATTGTTCTATATATATACTCCGTAATTCGACCCCATAGTTAGTAGCAACAAAATTTTATATCATCAATCTTAAAATTTGTTCAATTATTTTGTGTATACATTATTTCTCTCTTTTATCTGGCTAGCTCGCTCAAAGCTCACAAAGGGTTAATTGTTCAACAAGGACCTTTAAATTTTGGTAAGTGTTATTAATTGTTCTCTTAACACAAATATGGATTGATCTCGTTTGATTTGTTTCAATGTACGTGTATCTTCGAATTAATTAATTACTTGCAATGAACTAATGTTATTTTTAATGATACATTTTATTTATAATTTAAAGTCTTAACTAATTTATGATAGGGGATCAATGTCTACTCCACAAGGCAATGAAACCTCCGTTCGAATAACAGATAATGCTAATTCGAGCATAATAGACGATAATTCGAGCATAACGTACATTAAATTCGACCGTGGCATAAGAAAAAAGGTCCTATTTTGGTGCAACTTGGTTGTTTTCTTGGTGGCGGCAGCTATATGCGTGGCAAGTTTTACAGTTCCGTCACTACGAAAGGCCCCACCGAGTGGTATAGCAATGTGGCAATGGAGCTTGCTCGTAACGGTCCTCTTATGTGGCCCTCTCTTAAGCAAATTACTTCATTACATGGTTATTTTCATAGACACGAAGTTTGAACTATTTGGGGTGGCTGCCGCGGCTAGGGAAAATGTGGTCTACTACACTGTCGAGTTAATCGAGAGTGCTTGGGTTGTATTGTGGTTTAGTATTATACTTGTTGCTTGGCTTTGGGTGGTAGAAGACCCAAGTTACTTAGGTATGAAGGAAGATCAAAATGAAAAACTTAAGAAAAAATTTGCTAAGACATTTCCTATAATAACCGTTACCCTAATTACCATAATAATTGGTTCTGTTTTTTGGTTACTAAAAGATGTAGTATTACTAATGGCAAAGTCTTCCTTTCACATTAGCAAGTTCTTTGAAAGAGTTAATGATGCATTGATGCATCAACATGTGATTAATAGGCTCACTCCTCGTGCTGATACGTACGATATTGGTGAGCCGAATTTGTGTCAACGTATGTGTGATTGGAAGGAGAAGATGCCTAGTCTTAGTGATCAAGTGAATCAGAAGAATGTTTCATGTTGGGGGATGCAGAAGGTCATCAACTGGTTTTTTGATAACGAAAATTTGACCTATAAGCTTGTTGATGGAGAAGACAAGAAGATTGAATCTGAAGATGGTGCAATTGAAGCTGCCAAGTACATCTATTCCTTGTTGGCTCAAAGTGAAGATTCAATGTAAGCATGCATCTCTTTTCTTAATTTCATGCATAAATTTAGGGTTTAATAGGTTTTTAATATAATATGATCTGATCTAGCTTGATTTGAACTTTGTCTTATTTCTACACTAATCGTTTAGATAATACTTATTAAAGGAGGTGTCAAGTGTCAACAGATACATATTAATGTGTACTTTTCAAATATGAATTTTGTTTTCTAATTAGGAATTATATTAACGATAAATAAACACAATAAAAAAGATATAATCTGATCATTACTGAATTAAGCAATTAATTGCATTAAAAATTGAATTGATCGAACATACCTCAGTATGGAGTAACTTCTTTTTGAAGTATATTGGATCCACATGATGCATGCATGAGGATTATCTTAATTAATGGTAACAATTTAAAATAATCTAATCAATTTCTCGTGTACATAATGGAAGGAATAAAATAAAGATGTACATCAAAGCGAAAGTTCAGCCTAAAGATCAAGTATCAGCAGTAATGTGCCGTTTGGTTGATAAACAAATCACAGAGGATGATCTAATGGAATTAATGGTACGTGCATTGCTTTTTTCCTCTTGTATTTCCGTGTTTATCTTGTATGAGACGATCTCATAATAAGCTTTTTTGAATGTTAAAAGTATGACTTGTAACTCTTTTTCAGTGTAACTTTCTAATGTTTTATAGTAATGGTGAGACGTTCTCTCCTAAGAATAAGATGAATGATTTTTTTTAATAACTGGCTGATGAATAGATGAATTAGTCTCTGCCACTGTGATTTTCAAATCCTAGCTGCGCCCCTACCTCATCATACCTATGACTTATATTTTTGCCACAGGTAAAGGCATTCAAGTACCGGGAAACACTAGCTAGTGCACTGAAGGCTAATAAAAAATTATTCGAAGCCTTGAACAAATTTACAGAAGCCCTCCTTGTGTTCCTCATCTTCGCTTTGTGGCTTATGATGCTTAGGGTTGAAACTCGAAAGTTCATTATCGTCATTGGCACTGCCATTGTAGGCTCAGCCGTCATCATCGGAGACACTTGCAAGAAGCTCTTGGACTGCTTGTTGTTCGTATTTGTAGTGCATCCATTTGACATTGGTGACTGTTGTCTCCAGTGGCGGACCCAGGATTTTCCGACTGGTGAGTCACAATCGATAATCAAATATGTAAAAAAAAAAATTTACCAAACAACCAAATAATAGTACTAAAAAATACATCCAAATATTCAAACAGTACAAAATACAACCAAATGTTCATATAATACTACAAAAGACAACTAAATAGTAATGCAAACTTATTAAAATAGTTCTCGACGAGTTTTCATGTTTTGATATCGATTCATGATATCTTCCATGCTAACATTCAAAAACAAATCATTCTCCAAATAAGTAATTAAACAATCATTCAACATTTGATCTCCCATGCTATTTCGTAGTTTGTCTTTCACTTGCTTCATGCCAGAAAATACTCTTTCCACACTTGCCGTTGCGACAGGAAGAAGCAACACCAACTTCAAAAGTAAATAGACCCTATCATGAGTTTCAGACAATCCCGTTTCAACCAATTTGATTGAAAGATCACTAAGACCCTTCAAATTCCAAAACCTTTCATCTCCTCTAACAGAACAAATGTAACTATCAAGTGTATGACCAAAGACTATCAATTCTGAACTTGGAAATTCATTAGGATAGAATTTTGCAAGCTTAATCAATTTTTCCTTATCAAACTTAGAAAAACGATCCACAGGACTCAAACAAGACATACACACAAGTAGTTCTTTAGTTATTTCGGGAAATCGATTTTCAAGTTCTTGCAATTGAAGATCAATGACACCAAAAAAAACTTCAACTCGAAAATGATGTAGATTAGACACTTGTGGGCATTTACCTCTAAACAACCTCCTCCCGGGAACAACATATTTAGCCTCCATATCTGGAACTGCAATGTCATAGTCACCAATAAAAGAAATTACCTTTTCCATATGAGAATCCCATCCTTCATCTCTCATTTTTTGCAAATTAGTCTTGGTTACATTAACCATGGCCATTGCATTCACAATGTCTTGATCGTGCTTTTGTAAGGCCACATTCAAAGCATTTGTTATCGCAAATATACTAACCATCAAGTGTGCCACGAACACAAAATCAAAGGACATCAGAAGATTTGTAAGTGTTTGAGCTCTATTAGAATCTATTGTATCAGATACTTTTGCAATATCCTCAAGAGAACCAAGGATTACAGGGAATAAATCAAGTACATTCAAGATTGTCTTGAAGTGAGATCCCCAACGAGTATCACAAGGTCTACCTAATCCACGTTCTTGATTTAAACCTGAACCCGTTTCAAGTTCACCTAGAGACAATGCATCCACCACTCTTTGAGCTTGATTTTCACGAAGAAACTCTTTCCTTTTTGGTGAACCCCCCACAAAATTCAAGAGAGGTGCAAGTACATCAACAAATAACCAAGCACAATCTGAATTCTTTTTAGCAAGTGCAACTTGAGTTAATTGAAGTTGGTGAGCAAAGCAGTGGACAAAATAAGCTTCTTTACACTCATTCTCTATAAGAGTCCTAAGGCCATTAATAGAACCTTGCATATTACTTGCCCCATCATAACCCTGACCCCGTACTTGAGAGAAAGACAAAGAATGCTCCATTAATAAGGATTCAATAGCAGTTTTGAGAGTCAAAGAAGCAGTGTTTACAACATTTACAATACCAAGTAAACGCTCACACACTTCTCCCTTTCTATTAACATATCTCAAACAAAGAGCCAATTGTTCCTTGTCAGAAACATCAGCGGACTCATCAGCAAGGATAGAAAATAAACCACCATCAATATCTTCAAGCATTGCTTTAGTGGTCTCTTTTGCACATGCATTTATGATATCTTTTTGGACTTTAGGAGAAGTAAGTTGACAATTACTAGGAGCATTTTTGAAAACAACTTTAGAATATTCAGGATTACCTTTGGAAATAAGGGATAAAAGTGAAAGAAAGTTACCTCTTCTTAAGGAACTTTCTTTTTCATCATGACCACGGAAAGGCAACCCTTGGAGTAAAAGCCATTGGATAGATTCAATTGAAGCTTCAAGTCGCGTCCTATATGCATTTGTACTCTCAGCGGTTTGTTTTGTTAAGGCTTGTGTGATGCTTGAATTTTGTTTCTTGAACAAATCCATAGCTAAAACAGCATTATTATGTGCACTCAAGTGTTTACCGACATGTTTTCTTATTAAATCCGATCGATTCCATGATTTGAAACCATCACTAACAAAAGCATCACCTCCAAAGGCATTTTCATCCTTGAATAGATAACAAGGGAAACAATAGGCAGCATCCTTTTCCACACTATACTCAAGCCAAGTCCAAGTATCAAACCACTTAGCACAAAAGCGACGATTTTTGCCAAAAATAGAAGTTTGAGGAAATGTAAAGTCTTTGGGCTGACAAGGCTTTCTTTGAATGTAAATTCTTCTCACTAAATCTCTATCATCTTTATGAAATTGACTCATTTTTCTCCTCTTTCCTGGATCTTGTGGAAGATTAGCAAATTCATGTTCACTTAATCTTTCTCCAAAGATTGGGGCATTAGGAGAACATTGGCCTTGTTCATTTTGAGGGGAATTTTGAGTTGAATAATGAGATGGAGATGAAAGTTGCTCACTTTCTTGAGGTGGAGTTATAGTTTGTTCATTTTGTGTTGGATGTGGAAGAGAAGTTGGAGTAGGATTCTTTTTAGCAAAGAAGCTAGTAATGTTTTGCATTTCATTTGGAGTATGTTTTCTCTTCATTCTGAAATTTGAATAAATATTGAACTAAATCAAGCAATATTCTCCAGAAAAATTATTTGAATAAATATTCAACTAAATGGTCTAAATCAAGCAATTTCACATAATGACATAATCACATAAACATATTACACAAAACACAATTACACAAAACAGATTTCACATAAGTAATAACTAATAAGTTCAAGAGATTTCAATTACACAAAACACAATTACACAAAACACAATTACACAAAACAGATTTCACATAAGTAATAACTAATAAGTTCAAGAGATTTCAATTACACAAAACACAATTACACAAAACACAATTACACAAAACACAATTACACAAAACAGATTTCACAAAAAAAAATCAATTGATGATTAGTTGATTACCTACCTTGCTAGGCGGAGGCGAGCAGGCGGAGCAGCACTGCAATAGGGCCACGGGCAAATTATTTCATGGACTAGTGAGTACATAACGAAAATGGCTCTCATGTGTCATCATGTCAAATTGTCAATACATGCCCCCTAGACACATAATGCAAATGAAGATCGTGTGTCTTTCATGTGAACATGTCGTGTTGACTCTGATGCATTGACATGAGAGCTAGCTAGTACGTAGTGCTTCCAGGTGTATGATATAAATGTTGTTGTGATCCTATGGCATATCTAACATAGTCAAAGTTGAAACAGGTGACAATTAAAAGGATAAAGATCCTTACAACAATTGCTTTGACACTTGACAATGAGATAAGGTACTATCCAAATACAGAATTAGCCGTCAAATGTATCAGCAACTATACTCGAAGTCGTGAAATGGGTGATTTTGTGGTATTCACCCCTGAAACTGGTGCATCAATTGAGGATATTGAGCACAAAATAGAAAGGTGTTCTTTTTATTTCATCATTATTTTACATTGAATTATCTCCTTTGCCTTTTCTTATGTTATTTAACTCATCATGATTCACAAATTCACGAACCTATGATAGGGTTATTAATATAAGCTAAGTTAATTTTGATTAATTTCGGATTAATAATGAAATGATAATATATAATACACGGGTCTGTATGGGTCACACCCGTCACGAGTGTCCATATTATAAGTTCAAGGAGGTTACGCTTTAATAATATATTTGAAGAATACACGCTAAGACAGTTCTAACTTGATTCCAAATGATGATATCAATATTTATAATTTAGCAATAAAAAAAAACACAACTTAGTTGAATT